GTCTACGCACATACAACACACAACTACTTAAAGTAGTTTACAAATTAAAATGTACATTGCCGTTTCATAAACACGAGATTGCATGATGTCCACATTAGGAATGGACAGACTTGTCTGTCTTGGTGTCTTCCAAAGGGGCACTCACAGGTTACATTCAGTACAAATACGGTTAATGTGCATGCAAATGCAGGTTGTTACTCAAATGTAAGGCCTGTTTAGGCATTTGTCCGAATCATGAGACTTAAAGTGGGCAGGATAATTCCTACATCATCATCATCTTCATTTCTACACCTACCGCAGCCAAAGTTCTCTAGGCAGCTTACGGAGTACAGGTCCAGCCTGCTCCATTCAGACTCTGCCACATTGGATCAGCAAGTTCTGATAGTGTCCTGTTTGCTTTCAGTTGCCCATAAAAGCACTGTTCCTACTCTACACAGAAATAAGTCCTCATGCGTTCACTGGGTCTTGAAGAGGACTATGCTCCCCGGAAAAGTTACTCATTCTACTTATAGCCCGAAGTGGCTGATCCTACCTAATCTTAGAAGCTAAGCAGAGTCGGGCCTGGTTGAAATCTGGATGGGTGACTTAAATGTTGTGAATGGCCCAGAGAGCTTTAGCTATGGGCAGTATAGAAATGTAATGTGATAAATGTGATAATGATTATGCATTTCAGTGGTCCAGTTAGGTACACCATATGATATATACCAAACATGCTACTATGCAACTGTGAAATCTGAATTAAAGTACAGATGAAGGTGAAAACAAATGCTGTCAAGAATTTATTTAACAGAGAGGAAAAGAGGGAATGAAGCCATGGGAGCTGTTCAGAGAACTATGCAAGATAGATCAAGCCTGTAAACAAAGCAAAACAGAAATAGGAGGGAGGGGAGCCAAATCGTTTTTCCACTCGTGAGCCGTGGGGCCTCCGTCTCACACATGAGATGGGTCTGCGGTAACCCAGCCCAACCACCTTCCAAAGCTCTAGACTCACTGCCTTTGCTGGATGAATGCTGCATTAAGGGGAGTAGGCCAAGAATAGATCCGCTTAGTCATATGAAATTCATGCTCCTATCACAAATTGTACTACTATTGTCATTCTACTCTGGTAACTTTTCGTAAGGGCTGCCTTAGGTCAGATTAGGGTTTGTCCATCCAGACCAGGGGTTGACACCTTCTAGGCTTCCAGATGTTCGGCCTGGAAATCTCATCAGTTCCAGCTGCCTTATCAGTTCAGAATGGCAGTGGTGAGGAGCCATGGGAGCTGGGGGCCAAAATGTTGCCCGCCCCTTATCAATGGCAATGGCTGCACTGTGACACACGGCAATCGTCCCGATCTCAAGCCGAGAAGAGTCTTCGCCATCGCCCACCACCTGATCTTTTTAACTGAAAAGGATCTGGCACCAAAGGAAGAGCTTCTGCGGGTACAGAATGTGTGCTGTGGTCCTTCAAAGACACTTATTTGGAATCACTGAATAAAACTGGGTGTTCAGGGAAGACTGTGAGCAGGCCAGGGTCCATTTTAACTTGTGCTGGGACAATTGAACGCCCTGCCAAAAGGGAGCGCAGGAAGGCAGATAAACACAGAAGAGGGAAAGGAAGAGCCTGAAGACACAAACTGATGGCCATAATTAATTTGTACATCTGCTCATGGAAACTGGACGCATTGGTAGGAGAAGATTTGGAACGGTTGGGCAAGGCATTACTTGGGCCGCTGTTTCCGATTCTTCTTGTTACAGGCATCTATAGTGCTCTGGGATGCTGTTTGGAAGCAAAGCCAATAGCCCTCGGAAGCAACTGTGGCCTTCTGTGGAGTCATCTCTGCCTAAAAGCAGAGATGCATAAAGCAAGGACAGAACAACCAGACTGCATGCATATGATGATATAAAAGTAACAGAACATGACAAGCCTGCTGTATTATTGAGAGACTTTATGAGGAACACTCAAAAGTTCTGAAGGAACTCACAGAGCCCTATGTAATAATTAACCAAGCAGTATCTTTACTGCTCGGAAAGAAAAAGGTTTCGAAACTGAGTTTATTTTAAAAACATTAACAGCCCATCCTTAAGCCAAACATAGTTTTCCAACCCAGCTTGTTATATTTTATTCTTGGTTTCCATTACGTATCAAACATCCTGCTTCCCAGCTCCTTCTTCCATCTATGCTCAACACTAATTTCTCCCAATTTGGTAACCATGTGCAGGGCTGGTGTTTTCCAGAACAGATAGGAAGCAAAATGAAGATCCCACCTGCTTGTTGTGCTTGCTACATTTATATCCCACTTTTGTGCAAAAGTGTGTACATGATCCACCTCCCTCCCACTTGGCCCTCACAATGTGCCATACAGGCTACATGTCTCCATTTTACCCTCAAATAACTGGGTGAGGTTGGGCTGCAAATCAATGACTGGCCCCATGAGCTTCATAAAGAGTGGAGGCTACATCTCCCCAGTCCCAGTCTAACTACTGCTAGTAACTACTACCCAGTTAACTACCACACCAGGCCAGCTCCACTGAAACTCTGTGCCATGAACAGCAAATGAATTCCACATGGATTACCAAATAACTTGACAAAGAGTCAAGGGTTGCTCTCACCATCATGTCCATTTGTAAGTTTTGAGAGGCACCCCCTAGACTAGAAAGACACTGTGCCTGGTCCTGCAGCACAAAATGTGATGTTCTCACTATTTGTAAACCTCTTGAATCACCAAAGCTGGGCTGGAAAGCTCAAGGGAAAGCAATGCCCAAGGAAGAGCCCTGAAAGGGTGACCAGCTCACCTGCTCAGATGTGCTCAGGTTCACTTCCTTGGTCATGAAGACCCACCAAGTGTCACCACCTGGGCCTTGAAGTTGCCCCTCACTGAACTGACCGAGACACACAGGTGGCCCAGCCATTCTGGTAAGAGACATGTGTTCCCATTGCAATGACCTTACTTATTTTGAAATGCACACCTATCTCTATAAACGAGCATATGTACAATGAATGCAAATCAGCCCCCTCTTTCATCCTCTTCTTTGATGGTGCCCTTCCACTTTTCTTGCAATTCGTAAGCAGTGGCTTTCAAAGTGTGTGCCAAGAAACCATGATTTTAGACATTATAAGCAAACTATCAGGGATGGCAGACAAGCTGCCCAACATCAACACGGCTTCTGTCATTTTCAGCCTGAATCCTGCCATGAACAGCTGTTAAGGGGAGGCAGATCAGCCCACGAGGCTGGGCCAACACCTGCATACACCTGGCATGTCGTGGGATGTACCCCAGGATCCTGAGCAATATGCAAGACACATAGGCAGAAGTGGTCAAGTTCCTCACCCTGCTCTACTCCCGCCAAGGTCCATTTTATTCACCAGGGACAATCCTTATTTACACGCCGAGCCAATGGTTAATTCCCAAAAGCTGCTGAGATGTAAGCTGGGCAAGAAACCCTGCCCTATGGCCTGCAGCCCCTTCTCTGAATCCAGGAATGTGTGGGCAGGCTTACTGAGAAGCCAAAGTAACTTTGCACATGTTCAGAGATAGCATTCTGTTTACATATGTTTCAGGGCTTGGCTTTAACGTTAACACCAGCTTCAGGCTCCTTGAAAGTCCAACTCTAACCATGTAGATAGGAAGTCAAAACATACAAAACTAAGGATCTGCAAACCCCAAGACAAGAATGCTCTGCAGCTTACTTCAAAAACAGGACGGACAGTGTGCAAGTCTTCAGGGATGACAGACAGACACTCTGATTCGAAGTTCAAAAGCGAGACATCAAATTTCAACTATATACAGTGATCTGAATCGGCACCATCCCAACCATCGAGGAAAGCACATCTTGAGAAGGCCACCATATTTTACACATAGCGATAGAGTGCGAAAAGGGAGAGAAATCTCCTCAATTTGACTGAAGCCAAGCTCCCATAAACTTAGCGAATTATGGGGGCACCTCGCCCACTCCAATAGTTCAGGCCCTGATAATTGCACCCAGTGGTTTGCTGATTAAGCCCCTACTTTCAGCTGGTGGAACTTGAAATGCCCTGGGTCATGAATCCCTCCAGAGCCTCAGTCCTGTGCATCCCAGCAGGGGAGTCAGCACGGGGCTACAGCGTTTCCTTGAGAAAGAAGTCAGGATCCTGTGATCCGACATAGGCATTTGTTCAGGAAATGCCACCTCCACACCCACCAAATCTCTCATGTGCTAGAGTGCCTGGCCATCAGCTAGAAAACATTGTGGCTGCTATTACAATTACTAGTGCTGATATTAAGGCTGATCAACGAGGGATGAGGCTAAGAAGACTGCTGAGTGATGCTTGCCAGCTCTTCTTCAAAGTGGGCCCTTGCTCCCTAAACATCTGCAGAACTTGCAGAAATCCAACAGGGCAAGCTCTTTTTTTCATGGAGCAGAGGGCCAGTCACAAAGTGTGACTTGTTGAACTGCTGTCTGTCCTCAGGCAAGGGAACCCTGCCAAGCAGAAGTGTGCCAAACATAGAAATCAGCCCTTGTCTCAAAGAGGAAGGGCAGAGCTCGTGTACTGCACGTAAAGGCCCCTGGTTCAATCCAGATGGCGCTGGGGAAAACTCTCCGAAACACTGGAAAATGGCCAGCAAGTACAGACAACGCACTGGATCAATATGGAGTTTCCTTGGTCCCCTTACACACATATTCATCAATTCCACACCTATTAAGTTCCTCCACCCTGTCTGCATTTTACCCTGAGTCGCTCGTCTGCCCCTCTAGACCCAGTCAATCCCCCACGGAAATGGTTCCGGCACCAGAGTACCTTCTCCTGATGCTAAATTTCCTGTTTGTGACTCTTTCCTCGCCCAGCATCCTTGCAAATTGGAAATCTATGCAGACTTCCTTGAGGGGAGTACCACTGGTGAATCTGCGCCCCCCGGGACCTTGCTGTTCTCACCTGGAGGGCAGCTGGCAGAATTTGGAGGTCCTCTCCAAAGTGCACCCAGTTCAATATATAACTAAAACTCACATGTTGTCCTTCCCTTTAAGAAAAACTCTACTTGCCTCTGCTCCTGGCATGGCTCTCAGTACGTTCTCGGGCTTGGTATCCTGCTGTTCCCAGCCAGGGTAGTTTCCAAACTGTTTCTATCGACTGCCTTCCATGGCCGAGACAAAAGAATCCCCTCGGCAAGGTAGAGCTTGCCCTGAGCCCCTGCATTTGCTGCTCTCTCATGCATCTGTCATGGCAGGGAAAGTCGTCGTCTTCCAGGTGTATCCCCTGTGCTTCAGTTGTGAGAATGCCACCAGATACCTGAGGTGGAAAAAGCTGTAAAGAACCTAAAACCTTACTTTATCCTAGCTTAAGATGCATCTATCAATCACAAAAGGTGGGCTGTAGCCAACTGTAACAAGGCTGTGTTTTGTTTTGCTTTCCCACAGATACCACCTTATCAGCAACTTGGCTGACCTTGGATAGATAATTCACAGGTTTGTCCAGTAAATCACAATCCACTAGGATTGCCTCTTCCCTTGGGCTGTAAAGGTGCTTCAGTGGCCTGTCCCCACTGAAGGAACATTTGGTCTGGAGTCCTGTTCCATCGCCCAACCTCCAAAAAGGGAAGAAACAGCATCCCCGCAATCTTGCTTCCAGTTGACACAACTTCAATAGGAAGACTATAAAACTGGTCCACAAGGAGATAAGATAAGGCTCCCATGTAGACAATTATATTTTAAAACATATTGTTCTCTCCTCTTAAGCCCTGGACGAAATAAATGAAGTGTCTGTTGATAGTCCACTATCAGACGCTGATTTTCACAACCATATAAACATTCCTTTGAGTGTTGCGTAAGCATCCCAGCCTATTGGGCAAAGACTCTCCTTCATTTGCACTTGAAAGGCAACCAGCCTCTTGAGTTTAATCTCATCCCTGTGGGTTGGTTTCAATTACAAAAAAGTTCAAAGTATTTGGTCTACAGTTCTTTGTGCAGTGGTCCAAAGAGATCTCTTGGCTTGTTAGCCAGGCAATGTTAAGGGAGACCATTGGATGCAGGTCAAGGCATCCTAGCTATTTATCACCACCAGCACAACCTCGTACTGTACACAAGCCTTCCCAAATTATCACTGAACTATTTGAGCAATACCAAAGAGACATGCCACGAAACCAACATCACCTGCGTCAAATCAGTGCTTTGTTTTCTGAAAATATTCACCCTGTTTTTGCAAGGAAGAAAGCAGCCATTCTCAACTAGGAAGCAGGGCAACCCACTGGGTAGGCGGGAAGCACGGGGTCTGTTCAACGTCTCCTACATGCCTTGAATGGATTATTACGTTTTTTATATCCCCATTAGCATTATAAGAGGAGGGGCCATTTGGACAGCACACGTTCTTCGCATTCCGTAGTTCCCCATTTTGCTCCTAGGCTTCTCCAAGGGGTGGGGAAAACCTCCACTTAGGACCTTCTACTAAGCAAACTGAAACTCGGTTGGACATGATTAAAAATGGCACTGCTTCGAATTTTGCAATGCTGTTCTCCAACAAAGGACGCCCCAAAAAAGGGAGAGGAACGATATTTAAGATTCATTATCCTAGCAAGATGGTTTGCAAAGATCTGAAAATTGGGGGCAAGTATATGCAATGTGCATGAGGAATGTGCATGAAAGTGCTTATGATTTTTCATCCAAATATTTTTTGAAAAGTTCAAAAGTTTAGGATGAAAACTAAGTGAGGAACCCAGTTTAAGAGTGGAGAAATTCGCAAGGTTCTGCACGAACTAGACTGGAAAGGACTGGAAAGAGGAGAAACTGAGGCGAACTGAAACTGATGGATTTGCCCATCCCGAGCTGGGGACACAGTGCCAAATTGAAATGGTCAGGCGACCCAGCTGCATGGTGCACCCCCACTGCCGCCGTCCCGTGAGTTGACCCACTGATGAATGAAGGGCCCAACTGAAGGACCCCTAAAGCTGGAGCCCAACCCTGACTGCGGTGTTACCAGATGGCCCAATCAGTTCCTCATGGCTATAAGAAGCAACAGATAATTATTTTAATGCATGTTCATTTATTTTATTCATTTTTAAATTTATATACTGCCCATCAGCCAGAAAGGCTCATAGTCTTAGAACAAGGAAGACATATCAGGGAAGGTTCATGGTGATAAATAGTTTTCAGTGCTTAAAGGACTGATGTTTATACTGGAAGGAACACCGCGGTCCTGGATAAATTATGCAATCCGTTAGTGGCACTGCATGACTTCATGCCATAGACAATTTTAGCGGGGGGGGGGGGGGGGAAACAGATGACACTTTTATTCAGGCTGTTGCCTAGTCCTGTTTCTGTCTTTTATTTCAAGCACATACCCAAGAACAGTAATAAACACAGACCCTTTATTAAACCAAAAATCAACCCTGATTATTCTCTAGAAGGACAGGTACTGAAGCGGAAGCTCAAATACTTTGGCCACCTATTGAGAAGGAAGGACTCATTGGAAAAGACCCTGATGCTGGGAATGACCGAAGGCAAAAGGAGAAGGGGACGGCAGAGGTTGAGGTGGCTGGATGGGGTCACTGGGGCGGTGGGCGTGGGGCTGGGTGGACTCTGGGGGATAGCGGAGGACATGAGAGCATGGTCTGCTGTGGTCCATGGGGTCACGGCGAATTGGGCATGACTGTGCGACTGAACACACACACACAAGAGCTGGTAGCAAAACCCAAAGGACAACATGGCAAAGGCAAATGCATATGCATTACAAAGGCAATTTTGACCTCTTTCTTTTCAAAGAACTGTTCCAAAAAAACACAGGAATGGATGAGGGTTGGAACTGGAAGCATGGGATCTCTCAGTCTTTGTCACTCAGGCTAAAATCCTGTAGGTAGTTTCCAAATGGATTTACTTCTGGGTAAGGAAGTGTACTGCAGGATGTAATTCCTTTGTCTCCAGGCACCCTTGCAAAAACCTTGAATGTCTGGGATTAAGGCAAGGCATCTTCTGTGCTGGGATACGTTCAGACACAAGCATGGTTCACACACAATCCTAAACCAAGATTCTGAGTTAAGACGACAATGGTAGACGTGAACCACAGCATAGCAAGTTCCCCTTTCATTTGTTCATGTAAGGCTTCCATTTGTGGTTTTCAACAAACCGTAACTTCCCACTATTTCCAAACACAGGAAACTGTGGCTTGTTCAAAATAGGGCTAGTTCAACCAAAGTAGGATCAAACTCTGCTTTAGCTTCCTGTGATATATGGACTTAACAGGGCATTGTGGTCTGTTAAAACTTAGGTAGAGAAGCTTTTAAAAATTGCCCCCCTGACATGCAAAAAAAGGAGTGAAGGGGGGTTACCTGCTCATGCTCAGAAGGCTCAGAAGGCTCAGAAGTTCTAACTATCTGAACCAGGCCATGGCATTTCCCACGTTTCCATAGCACAGGCTATCTAATCTGTGGCTGGATGGATATTCTTGACCTACCACTCCCATTAATCCAGGCCAGCATGCCTAGTGGTCAGGCTGATGGAAGTTAGAATCCAACAACTTCTGGATGGCCAAAGGTTCAGAACCACAGTTTTAGAATTCCTAAGTCTAGGTATATCCACCCACAGGGAAGAAATTCCTCTGGTGATGGTCAGTGCAGGTTATGTCTGGATTGTTATGATAATAAATGGAGGGATGATTGTAGATCATTCTGGTTTCATTTGAGTTTGTACTGAAGGATGAGTTGTAAAATATGAATCTGGGACATGAGAATTAGGAAACAGAAAGGCAGAAGCACGAAAAAGACCAAATAATAGATAGCCCAGGCAAAACTTACAGTACTATAAGTAGAAAGTGTTCAAAACCATGCCCCCCATTCAATTACCCATCCTTTGAAAGGCATCTCCCAACAGTTGTGTGATGCCAACAAAGCCAAATGATGAAAAGCCATTACCCAAGATATCTGAAATCAATATGGAAGTAGGGAAATGGTGCATTTAAAAGTCACTATTTGTGTGCTGATTGTTCTTCACTTCTCTCTGCCCTGTGGGAGACAGGACTGCCCACTGCGAGGCTAATTTTAAGAACAATCTCTCTGCCTTGCACTCAAAAACCCGATTCTTTTACTTCTGGCAAAAGGCTACCTCTAGGCACTCCCGCACTTGTAACCTCAATGCAGCTACTCCACTAAGCTGCAAAGCAGAGGGAAAGGAGAGCAACAGGACTATTCCAGAGAGCCAGTGTGGTGCAGTGGTTAAGAGCATGGGACTGGGACTCAGACGATCTGGGTTCTAGTCCCCGCTCGGCCATGGAGCCATGGGTGACTTTGGGCCAGTCACAGACTCTCAGCCCAACCTACCTCACAGGGTTGTTGTTGTGGGGATAAGGAGGAGGAGGAGAATGATGTAAGCTGCCTTGAGCCCTCTGTAGGAAAAAGGCAGGATATCTATCAATCAATCCATCAATATTCCATCATCCCTCTGGTGTTGTCCCTGACTCCTCCTCAACTGTTATCCAGCAGGAGCCATCCCAGGCTGCAGCACCGGCTTGACTGAAAGGCCAGCAGCTTCTGGCTGCACTTCCGCCTCACTGCAGCAGCAATCACCCCATCAGGCTGCTGCCGAGGGAGCGAAGGGAGGCAGAGCCGTTCCGCTGCCTTGGTTGAGAGAGCTTCTCTCACTGGATCCCCATTACCTGGAGGCAGCCATGCCATCAAACTAGAGAGTGCTCGGCTTCTTTCTCACTCCTTGCCCTAAGCTCCGAGCACATGGATGGAGGAAGCGCAAAAGAGAGGACCCCCAAAGAGAAGGCGGCTTCCATTTCCGTGCATGTTAGAGGGGACCTTGCAGAATATCTAGTCCTACTCCCACTCAGTGCAGGAACCCATGAATTGTGCTGGGGCAATCGATCGGCCCTAGCCGACAGACCACGCAACCCTGCGAAAGGTCTTCTTCCTCAGCTGCCCTTACCAGCTGCCATTCCAGCAGGCTGTACTGAGGGAGCTCGGCCGTTCCACCAGCCCTACTGAGAGCCTTATTTCCCTCTTCCTTCCCCATGCCTGGTTTCTTGCATGCCACGATAAGACTGCAGGCTGACTGCCTTGTTTCAGTCATTATATGTGAGCTCTTTGGGAGTGTTGCTGGTCAAGAAGCAGGATAAAATACTTTGCATTAATTAGTGAACAGATTAGATGAATGCACATTCTTATTTGGAATGCTGACATCTCCCCCATGAAGGTTCTGGGAAAACTGGTGTTTCGAATGTTACACCCCAAGGACCCTTCGAAGGTGCAGGAGTCAGACAGTCCTGCTGCCCAAAGCCATCCCAATCTTGCCAAACTACCA